TCGGTGATTTAAGCTCATCGGAACAAATTGAGGAAGTCGTTGATTGCATTACCGAAACCTGTAATTCGGCCTTCTCTACTTCCTGCCCACTTGTATTTCCGCGACAAAGGAAAAAGCCACACTGGTGAAGCAGAGAAATCGCCTCTCTAAGGAAGGAAAGTAGGAAACTCTTTAATGCGGCAAAGCGCGATGGTTGTTGGACTGCATACAAGGCAGCCCTGAAGAAATTTAAAAATGCCACCAGGAAATACCAAAGAGCTCCTGGAAGGATTACTGCGATAGTATTGAGGGCTAGTCGGAGGGAAATCGCCTGCGAAAGGTGCTTGCGAAAAGTCCGACGAACCCGATGTATTATCTCGTGAGGAAATGCTTGAAGTCATAATGAACGCGCACTTTCCAGGGTGTACTGCGCAGCCCGACACTGCGGTTATTATGGCCGTCGACTTCAGCGGACTTTATTGATGTAAAAAGGGTAGACTGGGCCATAAAGTCCTTCCAGCCCTACAAATCTTCAGGCATGGATGGTATTCGCCCTGCCCAACTTCAGTCAGCATCTGACGTTTTATGTCCGATACTTGTCTTAATCTATAAGGGTTGTATTAAACTTAGTTTCATACCCAAGGGCTGGACCCTGGCAAAAGTTGTGTTTATTCCCACGACCCTCCCTCTTTAAACCAAGTGACTTTCGACCGATAGGCCTTACTTATTTCTTTCTCAAAGTTCTGGAAAGACTTCTAATAATCTCGCTAGCTGTCAACACGCCTACTGGAAATGTAGGTCTGTGGATACAGCTTTGCATAGGGATGTAGACCCTCCCACGTTAAACCAAGTGACTTTCGACCGATAGGCCTTACTTCTTTCCTTCTCAAGGCTCTGGAAAGACTTCTAGACTCTCAGATCCGGCAGGAAATTGTTGTAAATAATCTCGCTAGCTGTCAACACGCCTACTGGAAAGGTAGATTTGTGGATACAGCTTTGCATAGTATTGTCAGCACCATTGAAAAGGCTCTCGCTTTTAAGGAATTTGCACTAGGCGTGTCCCTAGATATCGAGGGTGTCTTCAATAATGTTCTCCCGGGAGCGGTTCTTCAAGCCCTAACTCGCCTTGGGCTGGATCACCTTATGGTCGACTTTGTTCATCGCCTCTTAGGCAGTAGAGCTATTTATTCGGAGATGGGGGAGGTATATATAACAAGATATGCAAGACGGGGAACCCCACAAGACGGTGTTCTCTCCCCACTTCTTTGGAATCTAACGGTGGATACCCTGCTGTCACGGTTGCAAGGTACAGGTTGCCAAGTCATTTCTTACGCGGATGATCTTGCCCTGACGGCAATTGGTAAGCACCCCCCAAGTTCTATGTGACTTAGTTCAAGGCGCCTTACGCATCGTGGATAACTGGTCCAAAGAAGTAGGACTTAGTGTCAATCCGGCAAAAACGGCCATGGTTCTGTTTTCAAAGAAAACGAAAGCTTTCCGGCTACAACCTCCTTCTTTGAACGGTATCGCACTGACTTTCTCGAAGGCGTTATTCTTGACAGAAAGTTAACTTGGCGGCGCAATATAGAAGAGCGCTGCAAGAAAGCTATAACTGCTATGTATGCCTGTAAATCGGCGATAGGGAAAAAATGGGGATTGAAGCCTCACATTGCCCATTCCATTTTACTGCATAACGGTTTGGTGGCCGTTTGTAGATAAATCTACAATAAGAAACAAATTAACAGCGTTCCAAAGGGTGGCGTGCATGATGATCACGAGACCGTTACCATCGAAGCCGACTAAAGCCCTAGAGGTCTTGCTTCACTTGTTACCTGTGGACCTATATGGTAAACTATAGGCAAGCTGTAATGCTATTATATTAAATGCACTAATCAAATGGAGTGACACGAGGTTTGGGCCCTCTAGAATTTTGGAAGATCTTCCAGAGGACTTTAGGCGCCTGGATTGCACAGTCCCGCCTTCGGGACTAAATAATCATTTCCAGATAAGGATCCCCTCAAGGGAAGAATAAGGAAAGGATTTGGTCCCGGTCTCGTATTCTGACTCAACAGCTCTACACTGATGGCTCCAAGTTTGATCTGAAGGTAGGAAGTGGGGTTTACTCGCAAGAACTCTCACTTAGTCCCAGTTTTCGTCTGCCAGATCTATGCAGCGTTTTTCAGGCTGGACTAATAGCAATAAATGAAGCTGCAAGTTGGCTGATCGATTCTCTAATTAATCCGAAGGCGTTAACAATCTTTTCTGACAGCCAAGCGGCTATTAAAGCACTTAATAGTGACAAATCTACGTCGAAGATTGTTATGGAATGTAGACGTACTCTTAATGAACTGGCAACGTGTTACGCCCCTAATGTTGTATAGGTGCCAGGCCACAAAGACATACCGGGAAACTGTACTGCACATGAACTAGCAAGGGAAGGAACCTTGTTGTCTGCAATCAGTACAGCCCGTAATGCGGGCATTACGCTATCCTCTTGCAAGCTCTGGCTGGAGAATAACTCTGTCGGACGGGGTAATATAAGATGGTCTGCGGAGCCTACTTGCAAGATAGCAAGGCACATCTCTCCTCCACTTGGAGCGACCACTGTTGCGGCATGTTATTGGAGTTCTCACCGGGCATTGCCTGATGGAAATCCACACCACCAGAATGTGTTTACAGTCAAACGACTACTGTCATAGCTGCCGCAATGAGGACGAACTCGAAAGCGTGGAGCACTACTTATGGCACTATCCTGCTTTGGCGAGAGCTCGCCGATGCTCGTTCCTCCATTATTCTTTTGAATGTCTGGCCGAACTGGATTCAGCCATTGTCTATGACTTTGTGCGCTTCATCAGAGCTACGTAGTGGTTCCATTACTAGAGTAAGAGGAGGGACATATATGGAGTTTCTTATATGGCATCACAACGGGCCCATGGTGGCCTAAGAGTGTCCTTTTCCTGAAGGATTAGGGCAGCCGAGATAACCTAACCTAACCTAACCTACTCCGCGCTGTCTGAATTTGGCATCCCCTCGAAACTGATTCGGCTGTGTAAAATGACGTTGAGCAATACCAGCTCCGTCAGAATTGTGAGAAACCTCTTCGAGCCGTTTCCTACCAAACGGGGTTTCAGACAGGGTGACTCCCTTTCTTGGGATTTCTTTAATCTGATGTTGGAGAAGATAATAAGAGCTGCAGAACTGAACCGCTCAGGAACAACTTTCTACAAGAGCATGCAAATGCTGGCGTATGCCGATGACATCGACTTCATCAGTAACAAGAACCGCGAAGTCTGTTCTGCCTTTTCCAAGTTGGATAAGGAAGCAAAGCGAATGGGTCTGGCGGTCAACGAAGACAAGACGAAGTATCTGCTGTCATCACACAACCAGTCAACGCAATCGCGCCTTGGCACCCACGTCACTGTTGACAGTTATAATTTCGAGAAAGTAGAGAATTTCGTTTACTTGGGAACCAGAATTAACACCGATAGTAATGTCAGCATGGAAATCCAACACAGACTCACTCTTGCCAACAAGTGCTACTTCGGACTAAGTAGGAAATTCAGGAGTATTTAAAGTCCTCTCTCGACGTACGAAAACCACACTCTAATAACCACTTATCATGCGCGTGTTGGTATATGGCACCGAAGCATGGACAATGACAACATCCGATGAGGCGGCTCTTGGAGTATTCGAGAGAAAGATTTTGCGGAATATATACCTGCCTTTTCGCGTTGGCGATGGCGAGTACCGCAGATATATGATACATATATGTATGAGCTTTACAACGACATGGACATATTTCAGCGAATTAAAATAAAGCGGCTCCGCTGGCTTGGCCATGTCCTTCGAATTGACTCCGACTGTCCAGCTCTGAAAGTATTCAACTCGGAACCCATTGGTGATAGCAGACGAAGAGGGAGGCCCCCACTGCGTTGGAAAGACCAAGGCATTTCCAATTGGCGTCAATTGGCACAGAAGAGAAACAACTGGAGTCCTTTGTTGAACTCGGCCAAAATCGCTTAGGCGGTTACAGCGCCAAATAAGAAGAAGAAGAAATATGGTCAGTAAAAAGTTAATTATTTAAATCGACGAATGGTTTTATATCAACTTTTTTGAACTTCTTTTAATGTGTGTATGTACAACAAACCTCTATTGGTTACAATAGTTTTAAGCTATAATGGACAATTTTTTAGTAATAATTATTGGTTTTGAAAAAGAAAAATTTCATTTTGGCTACAACCATGCCAAGAAGTTTTCTAAATCTTCTGAATATAAAGTTTAAAAATTTTGGGTGTAAATAATCGTTAAAGTTTTTTAAACTATTATAGTTCTTCTACGAAGTTTAAAATGTGCTGGAATTTTATATGTACAAAGATATAAAAATTAAATAAAAAAGGAAAAAATAGGCCAAAACTGGTCCAAATGTGGCTGACTTCATAAAAGCAGTTTGCAAAGCGACACTGGAATGCATAGAGTTCATAAACGCCATTGCCTTATTTTCGACAAAGCCGTGAGTCCATTATTGCATGGCAACTACTTTCAATGTGCAACAGTTGTCGAATTTGTGCATTGATTTTATTTGAGATGCTTTACGTTTGGCGGTTTTCAAAACAAAAGCGCAGGATTGCTTAAGATAAATTTCACAATACATACATAATTTAATTAAATACAACATACGACAAAATAATTTTGCGTTCATAACGTTTAAATTTTAACTTTAATTTAAACTTTAAAATGTCATTTCATTTTTGATAAATCAGTGTTGCCGTGATGCATTGCTTTGCCATGCAAACTCATCTGTCGGCAGTGTTACTTTGCAAACTGCGTTTATGAAGTCAGCTTGTCACTAAACTTAATCAGCTGACCGCAAGTGTATATGTACATGCAAAAGCTTTTCAGTAATTTGCAAAACGCTTACAGAAAATAATTATAGAAATTATAGTATAAATTCATGTTTTGTAATTTAATACCCGCTTGAATTATGGGAAAGTTTTATTAATGTTTTTTTTTTTTATTCTTAGGAGGCTTACCGACGTTGGGTTTGTAGTACTTTGGTACCGTATTTTGCTGAGGAACGCGACATTTATGTATCCCCAAGCGAAAATAATAACAATAATCGTAACAGCATTAAAACCGACAACCGAAGTAGCAAAACAAGGACAAAAAATAGTTATAGAACGATAAATAACGACATTATCAGCAATCAAACTGGACGATTTTTTCCTGATGAAAACGGCAATAATGAATTACCCAGTTCTAATGAGGAGGCAACGAAACGAACCAAACGCCAACTCACACAAAATAAAACAGTTTTGAATCCTTCCCTGCATGATAGCGACGTACCGCCCGCCAGCAATACGTCAGCAACCTTAAATCGAAGTAAACGCAATCTGGATGACAGATGCAATCGACAAAAACAACACCAGGAGTGGCAGCAGTGGCAACAAAAACTTACAAAACAATCGAAACAATCCAATATCTTCATATCGACTGCCAATAATGCGGATCCATGTACTGAGGATCCAGTGATATCAAAAATAATTAAACGGTAAGTCAAAGGGTCCATGCCTGATTTTGCAGAGCTTGATAATAAATTCCATAATTCGCAATCATTTCAACTCTCCTTAAACTTTTCGATGCTATTTTTGTGTAACGATTGGCATCAGCTCTCAAAACAGGACTCAATTTCAGAAATAATACCCAATGGTTTATTTTACCATTTCTTAATACCAACGATTTTTTATGGGCCTCCCTATTATATTTTTGGGGACCTATAAAACATAGTTAATACTAAAAAGGGTTAAATAAACACGTGAGTATTTTCGAGTATTTCGATCGAAAAATATTGATTTTCAAGAATTCTTTACCATTTCTATGAAAAATTGTTTTTCCCATAAAACCATATAAAATATATAGAATGGAAAACTTTATGGGCCCTGAGGCGGTTCTAAATATAAGTTTTTTTTTTCAAAAATTTTAACTGCTTTTTTTTGGACTACACAGGTTATATGGTTAAAAATTACTATTCTACAATGTATTTTATTGTAGTAGACTAAATTAAAAATATAATCATAACCAGATAACCTGATAACTAGACAGGTGTGAACACCGACAATATTTTTTAAGAGCTATTGAGATAAATTATTTTTAATCTGATTTATTTTGGAACGAATTTCCGTCATTCCTTGTCAAGTTTGGCTTGCAGACAAACCGGTTTCGGCGTTGTGCCATCTTCAGTGTCATTTTTCGTTCTGTCTGGTTCAAGGTTTTGTCCTTAATTGATTTTAGATTATGTGATTTTCGTCGATGATTAATTATTAGATATTCCATGGTGTCCTTTTTTTTGGAGCAGGTTTTTTCCTACGGTGATTTTTATCCTGATGGTACTTTTTGGTGTTTTCGGAGTGTCCATGCCTGTTGTTTTGTTGTCATTTTTCTTTTTTCCGTAAATCGATTTTAAAGGTTCGAATATAACATCCGATGCGGTATTTGTTTGTTCGTTTATTATTTTGGCGTCGAAGGTTTTTAGTTTGTATATTTCCATAATTTCTAGTACGTTTAGTCGTTGGCCTTTATGTTGTACATACAGTAGTTTCGCTGCCTTTCTTATTTGTGTTGGTGAACATTTCTTGTTATACATGGGGTTAGCGAAATTTGTCTCTGGTATTGCGCTCGGTTTCTGTGTCTTTTTGTTATAGTATCTTATATGTTCGGGGAATCTTGTTTTTATTTTACGTCCTGTTTGACTCTAGGTACAGGTATAGGTATAACTATGCTGGCATTTGTAAGTTAGTTTATACACTCCTTGTTTATCCAATGGGTCTACTTGATTTGTAGTGTTCCATAGTATCTGTTCAACGTTGTTATTTGTTCTTAATGATGTACGAAGGTTGTGTTTCTAGAACAGCTTTGCTCGTTTGTACGTTGACTTTCCAGTATAGGTTAATACCGCCCAATTTTCGTAATTGTTTGGCTTTTTTTTTTGTGCTCCCCTCGGATTTCCTCTACCAGATCTCTCTTGTATCCGTTATTAGCCGCTATGGCATATATTGCGTTCCGTTCTGTTTCGTATCCTTTTTTGTTAGTGGTATTCTTTCGATTCTATAGGCGGCTTTATGCTGATGAGGATGGTTCGAAATATTATGTATTATTGTATCTCCGACTCCCTAAAAATTTCGTATTGCAGACTACTGGTGCTTTTATTTATTTAAGTCGTCAGATTTAAGTAATTTAGCTTTCCTTCCATTTCTTGTTCCATTGTGATTTTTTTAAATCTTTTCAATAACACTAATGGCTTCCCATAGAGGCAAACCTTTGGTTTGCAATCTTTGTTTCCCAGCTGAAATTTAATTTAAGTTAGAGTTAATAAAAACCAAATCTGTTTTTACGTCATTGTTAGTGAACATTTGTTTAGTTCGACGAATAACATCGGAATATTCCTCGCAGGGAAATTGGGAAACCGTTGAGAACCCAAGGATAATCGTTAACAGTAGGAACACATTTTGAAGTTTTAAGCGTGGTACGCAGATATCAAGAACTGTTAAAACCCGATATAAAAAAGCGCAAGAAATGTTTAAGAGCTTACGGGTTTCTAAAGTTTTTTGCAACCCATATTTTCAAGAGAAATATACACTTGTTCCATTGCTTTGTGAGGAAGGAGTGAGACTGTGAATTATTAGATATCAAAATTCCATGAACACTACTATTTACACACACAAAATAATGCCAATTGTTGCTCAGTCGATTTGGTTGTTAAGATTAACGGCAACGCCAACGCCACAGTTAACGCACATGATGGGCATCTCTTTGCATTGTTGCAAATGTGGGCAGGAAATATCGCTTTTCATGCAATTATTGATATGAAATATTAATTTATCTGTTGTTAGTATGTTAATTTCGTGCTCAAAGCATTCGCTGCCAAGCTTTCATAGTAGCAAGCATACTCTTAACGCGCGTTCTGGCAGACCAACGCCAACGCCAACGCCAAAGCCCACGCCAAAGTTCTATGTGTACCGGGGGTTGGTATCGAAATTCTGGTACACGAAAATCTGCTTAACAAACTTCTGCTTTTAAAAATGCTGAACTACAAAACTCTGTTTTAAAATATAATGTAAACAATGTTAAAGGGGGCATGTCATTACTTTGAAAAGTGCGCACTTTTTCAAAGTAATGACATGTTAAAGGGGGCATGTCATTACTTTGAAAAGTGCGCACTATTTCAAAGTAATGACATGTCCTATTTAACATTGTTTACATTATATCTCAATAAATAATTTTGATCAAGGCACATTAAACAGGTAGTATCAGTAGAGCAAAAACAACATTTGCGTGTATTTTGTGGTTGCTTCTGGTATCGAAAGTGTCAAAAACTGTTCTGAATTTTTTCTTCTAAATCAAAGCGTGCCATGTGAAATACAAAAAATTATAAAAAATAAAAAATTGAAATTGGAAAAAATAAAAATTGATGCAACTTTCTTTCCTAGTAAATTTGTTTGCTTCTCGAAGCATTGATCCATCCTTTGCAAGGCCCAGTAATCAGCGGTCGTGCTGCAGAGTTGGGCGAACGTTCCAAAAGCTGCTATTCAATCGCTTGTTTTGTATGGAAAAAGGTTTCACAAGCAAATGGATTTTAACAATTCAGAATTTTTGTGAGAAAAAATTAAAAATATTTGACATTTTCGAGACCAAATAATTTGAAAATAAATCAAATCAGCTGCTCTACTGATACTACCTGTTCAATGTACCTTGATTTTGATTTTCAGTATTTTGAATAAGTTTGACAAAACTTTTATTACAGGAAATAATTATAATACGAAATATTCTCCTGAGTTTTGGGCAGTGCATGATAGCATGCATCGGAAACAAAACCCTTTTCTAGAACGTAAAACAGTAGCGAAGGGTGTTATCTCCGGCTAAAATTAGTTGTTGGATGAAGTGATTCCCAGTTTTATAATCTTGTATTTAATTTACAAGAACTTATTTTTGCGAAAACTCAAATTTCCAGAAAGGAAAACAAGTAAAACAAAGAGGCAGCTTATCACAGTGTAGACAGTGTGCCAAGTAATGTCAATATCCATATTTGACAATTCATACTGGAACTGATGGCTGCGTTTCTTTATACATTCCGGATAATCCCATTTCACAGTCGGAATAAACAGTATGCTTTTGAAATATACGTTAACATATCATCAGGAACGTTCTAAAGAATGAGTAAACAAAAAAGTTTATTCCAAACGTTCAGAATGAATAAAGAAATTCAGCCGATGTGTTTGTGTAAGTTGTTTATTTCAATTAACCCTCAGATAACACATGTTAAAAAAAATACGAATTTTTCGTTCTGTAATCAAAATTGATTTTAATCACAAAGATAAATTCCTATTACTTAATTAAATAAAATTTAATTAAGTGATTCTCACAAATACGTGCTGTTTGTGACAAAGACATGTGGAAAGCTAGCTCCCACTCTTTTTTTTACATATTCGTCCTTCGGTGCGATGAACACGGAGTCACCGCACTTCGCACTCTTGCATAAAAAACACGTATGCGGCATTATTGGTTTTTTCGCTTTCTATATTTCTTTTTTGTTAATATTTTCCTCTGTACACGATTCCAAAAAAAAATTAAAATTCAAACTACCAAAAATATTAAAGAAAGTGACAACAAATTTCAAAATTTTAACTAACATACTCAAGCAATTGTCAAATATGGATATGAAAAAAATTAAATGTCATTACTTGGTACACTGTGTACACTGTGCAGCTTATAAGAACTATTAAAAAAAAAGAAATGACTTAAGTCACATAGTTTTTTTGAAGAGATGCAATTCTCAAAATATTCTAATTTACTAAAACAAATTGTTTGCTTATATTGAAAATAAAAGTTTATTTTGATAAGTGTAACAACACGCTGTAAGAATTTGTATACTTTTCGCTAAGTATAACAGATTTTTAGGTCGCTTATAACGTATTTCCTAAATGTCAATTTAAGACAAACGGCCTGTGCTAATTGATAAAAAAAGATGCAATTTTGACGGAACAAACCAAAAATTTAACATTTCTCGTGGTGAATACAAACGCCAGAGTTTTATCTAGCTCATGGGACCAGGTAAAATTTTGACAGCTTCTAAAAATATATAATACGGGTCTTCCCTTAAACTCGTAAAAGCAGAATTTTGAAAGACGAAAGTGGAAAAGTAGAATTTTCAAAAATAAGAATTAGAAAAAGCAGAATTAAAAAAATAGAGAATTTTGATCGAGCAGAATTTTTTAACATTTTGCGATATAGAATTTTGTAATGCAGCGTAGTGAAACGCTCCATTGGACCGGCCTTTAAAAATTCTGGTACACACAGGAACCAAACTAAATATAGCAAAATCTACTGAGAAATTTTAGCAAGCATTTCACTAAAAATAGTCTCGATGCATATTATAATGCTGAAATAATTTCCTCCTTGAAAGCGATCGAACTCTGAAGATTTTCTTGTAAATTTTATGTACCGAAACTCAGTGCCATGAAAGCTGACGTGGTTTTTCATTATTTCTCTGTTACC